TCACATGCAAATGGATGGTTAGCTAAAACTATTTAAAATGCTTGTTCAAGTTTTCCTTTTCTGACAAGTACAGAAACAATTTGGGCCCAAGTACCGTTCCTTGTCACCCTTCCTCTGAGTTGACAGCCCAACAGATATTCTTCCAATTACGAATTTTAGAAACAACGTTAGGAACTAAAGTCTTTACTGAATTTTTCCTGAACAGAGAGACAGAAGAGAGGGAATGATCCTGCAATGCACGAGAGCAGCCTTCCCGCAGGGTGCTGTGAGGGAGGCACCCTCCCCGCCATGCCCCAGGACAGGGGAAGCACCAGCACCTCGGCAGCACTGGCGCGGCAGCCAGCGTGCTCTCTCCTCTGGGCTGGCTGGGACATGTATGGTGGGGGAAGCATGTGCAGCTGTGGGGGGTCTGGGAAGGTTGGCAGCATTGGAGATAAAATCAGAAGCCTTAAACCACTGGTTCATTTTCTACTATTGGTTCCTTATTTCCTTATCAGTTCTTATTAAAGTAAAAAATAACAACACAGCTCTTAGCAGTGGAACTCTTTTAACCACACCTCAGCTCCCACTTGACCACAGATTCCCTGGATGCTGGGTGGAGGAAGAGGTGAAGGACTGAGTGGACATACTAGTAACATCTTGAAAAACATATAATAATATTAAGAATATAATGAATTATTTCTCTGCTCTGCTGAATACAGCATACCTTACTTGCAGGTTTAGAAATTCCATAATGTCTTGTAAATGTGTGGAAAATGCTACAAGTAGCTCTTTTACAGATATGATAGATCTTTTTCAGCAACAACACGTGCTTTGAACTCTGCTAGAGGGCTCTCTAATATTTATGGGCAAGAAGATGGCCTGAATAATTTCATCCTTTCTGGTACCAGATGAGGCAACATCTTACACCTAGGGATTTGGATACATCTGGTTTGGGAAACATATCCAAAAATGGGTTTGTTGACAGGTCAAGCTCTGTCACTGCCTTCAGCAGGACTTTGGATATCATGTTCAGATAAGGCACCAGGAAGGCCTGGATCTCCTCCAGTTTTCTATTAAGAGAATAATAATCAAGACATCACCCTCAACTGACAAATGAAACAGGGAACAGATTGCTATCAGCATAAGAGGCAGCTCCTCTTGACAGGTACAGGACTAGATTGATCTCACAGAGATGCAAGCTTCTGGTTAGTAGAGACACTTAAATCATACTTTTCAGGAGAACAGTGACATGAGAAATCACATTATCACATAACTTAATTGGGGTGATAGGTTAGGTGTCTCCTGAGCTTAAGAACTTCACCTTGAACTCCAAAAGGCAGCTGAAGTAGACAGCTATATCCCACTGGGCTCTAAAGAGCTTGCATTGAGACAAGTAGGAAATTGCCTCTTTTCCACAATCAGTCTGTGTTAGAGGGAGATTTTCCTGCTTCTGATTCAGGTGTCACAAGCAGGGAGAAGACAGGCTGCTCTGAAAAGCTTCTAAATGTCCAAGTGATAAGATGGAGAAACTCCAGTTCACTCCATAAAGACATGGAGTGGTCAAGATAAGAAAGCTCCCCTGATCTACTATGTCTGTGCTAGTTTTTGTGACTTCTTCCAGAGCCACCATCAGATCAGTCATTCATTTCTGGTGACCTACTATTCTATCTAGGGACAATGAAGAGAAAATGCAAACTCTTTTATCCTAGACATAAAGAGTGATGAAGCACATGCTTCCTGTGCAGAAACTGCTGGACAAGAAAGTTCAAGCACGAGAAGTTTGTGGACAGCCACAGCAGACTGCACAAGTACTGTAAGCTAGGCAAGTAGAAGTCTGAAATGCAGTGGGAAAGCATCGCTGAACTTGGAATGAAAGTTGCAAATGAATCAATCCATTACAGAACCTATATCCATCATGCCCAATTGTTATTAATGAAACAAGAAGAAAGAAGAGACTTAGGTTTTCATTGGTGTCTCTTATCTAAGGAAATCACTGACCACGTAAGAGAAAATAAAAAAAATTTCAATTTAGTGACTTGCTGAGCAGCAAAATCAAAGGCAGGTGCTGGATATAATAGACAATACTGGTCAAACTGTTTCTTTCTGCACAGCACTCAGTAAACAGTCGCCACTATTGAGTTCTAACCTCTTGTCATGCACCAACATTGAGTCAACAATCCGCTCTCATGGCTTAATGCTTTTGATGTTTACTTTGTTCTTTCTATAGTTCAAAAGAAAGAACTAATGCACCAGTCCTCTTACCAAATACAATCTTAATCCCAGAATCCCGAGCCTTTTGCTGTTGGCCAGTTAAGTCTGTTAAGACGAAAGGATTTGATCAAGCTTTACATAACAACACAGAAGTTAAATCCAGCAAAGAGAGTTCTTTTTATCTGTACTGCTCAGACAGCTAAGAGGGGGGAAAAAAAGAGAGGGAGGAAAAAAAAAAGGTAATGAACTTGGCTATGTAAAACAAAATAAGGAATTCAATTATTTCTTATTGCCACTTTGTCTTTTCAGTGAGAGTCTTCTAAAGAACTCAGATTCATTCTCCAGTCAAGTCTCTGAGTGTGAAGGCTGTAACTTTCCCCTAACCCAGAACAACTGTGACACCTGCTGTGCTTTTTTGCAAATCTGAGAAATGTTTCTTTTTCATTTTTTTTCATCTCTACCATGTATTTATGAAGACAGAATATAGTTCATTGTTTAGACACTTGCCTGGTACTTAGTAGAGCTGGGTTCAAGTCTTTATTTTGCCGTTCATGTCCTTCGTGAGCTTAGCCCAACCAACCATGTTTCAGTGTGTTACAGCTCATCTCTGAAACTAGTTATCAGTGATGCTGATGTTATCTGATGATACATGAATGTATAATCATGCAACATGTATGTTACACCAACACAATATGTAAAGACCGTGAGCTAGCAAAATAAAGACAGAACAACTATTTTAGATGGAAAGATTAATTTACTTTCTAGAATATTTATTCCATTTTCACACAAAAGATTTCTATGCAGAAAAGAACTACAACAGTGGTCATCTTGTATCAAAGCCACACAAGCTGTGCCCTAACAAAAGTCTCAAATCATGCTTCAGCTTCACTTTATGCTAATATCACAATTTTATGCTAGTACTATCACAGTCATCCAGACATATTGTGCCAGTGAAAAGCAGAAAGTTATACAAAAAGGGCAAAACCATTCTGCTTTAACACACTGCTTCTAATATCTGTCAATTATAAGAATATTCAATATTCTGTTCAAGAGGGAAGCGGGTGACCCTGTCCACATCACAGAAAGCATGTCCTGGAGGTCTGAGAGCAGAAAGGATGAGGACCAAGCCTCGGCGATCTGCATGTGTTGCCTGAACACTGGGTAGGAACAGTTAGCTGCCTTCCAACTGAAAAGATACCACAGAACAGCTCACACCAAGAAAGAACCACCTGATGGTATCTAAATCTCATCTGCACTACTCAGCTACTGCATAAGAAGTGAGATGCATTAGAAGTAATTATGTAAAACTGCTGAAAGATTGAAATTAGAGTAGCCTAAATGATTTTACACTATAACAAAAACAACCCTGCTGCTGACTAGTTTAGAAATCTTACATATTGGATATTATGTTTGCTATGCAAGACAATTCTACGCAACAAAGTGAGAAATAATTAGAGGCAAGGAAAGGTAGAAGGAGACTCAGAGAAATGAAATTATTCACCTCACTGACATTTAATATCCGGTATTAAGTAGATTCTCCTATAATTCTGAAAATTAAAAAGCCACCCCTTACTATATTTATGTCCCACTATGAGCAGAAAGGAAAAACTATGGTGAATTTAAATACTGAAACACTTTTAACAAACAGTGACTCCATCACCTCAAGTATATCTTGCTTTTCTGTGTAACAGTAGCCTACAAACACCAGCTGAAATTGAGCTCCTATGTTACAAGCACATATGAGGAAATAGTCTTTGTAAACTACAGACATGACAGGAACATGGGATTCGAGAAACACAGTATATTAACACATTTCACAGGTAAGGAACTGAAAGACAGACATTCTTAACATAGAGAATCTTTCAAGTTCTGTTTAGACAGAAGTCTCCACCACCAGCAACAGATGACTGGATTATAAAAGGACAGAAATTTCCAAGTTAAGCCTGACACAGTTCACTGCTCTAAATAAATTGGGCATATTGTTTCCACTAACCTATAAGGTAAATCTAGCACACAGCCCATGCAACAACTTGTTAAACTTGTTAAACTAGTTTCCCAGAGACTTTCTGAAGACTCATTTCCTTTTTTTTTTTTTTTAAAAAAGAATGAGCAACTATGTCCTCAAATTAATCTCTTCTGTTCACCAACCCCCACCTGCCCACCTGAAGTTCTAGGTACCTCAGATGTGTTCTTTGGCACACAGAATACAGTGTCCATACTCAAGGTTCCCCAAGGCCCTTCCCACCACAACAGCAATTCCATCTCCACTGCAAGGAGAGGCCTGATCGCAGAGGAAGAGATGAGAAGAGCCTTGGAAAGAAGTTACCTGAGGCAATAATGATTCCATTCATATTCGAGAGAAATGGATTGAGTAAGAGTCTCTGGACTTTATTAGAAATTAATGCAGGAGTTTCTAAGTCTGGTTTGTGTAACACAGAAGGGTGTGCAGCATATCTCAAAACCCAGTGCTAACATTTTCAGTGATAGCATTTACCACCTCTGCTGGGGACAGTGATATTCACTACTGCTACCAATGCCAAGAGAGGTACCCGGGAAAAAGTTGTGAGACCTTGAATTAAAACACTTAGTCCCTATGATACAAATGGATGACTTCTTTCAATACTAGGAGGACAGTGGTAAGAGACAGAGAAATACTACCTTATTCCCATCTTAACAGTTCTGCCAGGCAAAAGACACATCAGTTTATCAAGAACTGCATTCTCATACATGCATTCTCACACTGACTTGTTCACTGACTTACTCCGATATCCCTTAATATTAACCAAGAAATTTTGTTCTTTAAATACCTTCTAGATGAAAGTGTTCATCACCAATTGTGTCTCTGTAGCCTTCCCCAGATAAATCCTGTTTAAAAAAAACAAAAATTAATGACAAATATACTATATACAAAGTGTTGAGGTGTTAAGAATATGTATTTATTATCGCCAGGATTAATTTAAAATGAGAGCACAAAGTTGTTTTCCAGGGAAGAAGTCAATCACTTTATTAGTGCTAGTCAATGCATTTAGTGCTATTTTACAATGCTCTGGACATACTTTAGGACAAAAATTTAATGGAGATTAATAGATTGTACAGGGGAAAGAAAAAAGAAGTGTTCATATTCTAATCCTTTTACGAAGTAGATTAGTATTTAGCATTTCAACGTTCTGTCAAGCAAGCAAGATAAAAAACTCCAAATGGAAATGATAAAGGAGAAATAAGCCCTTCACTACCCACAAAGGAATGTTATCACTTGGTTCCACCAACAAACAGAAAACTTTCATATGCCAGAGGTCACCCAAGAAAAGCAGATACCAGACTCTAAAGAACTGCCTGATCCTTCAGTCCCGAAATTAATGAAATTTTGTCAGCCCCAGTATGGCTACAGCAATACAGAAGCAGATGCCATAGATATGCAGATGATCTTATCTCAGACTCAGAAAACATTTCTCTAATGGTGATGAAGTAGTAATAAAGGGCATCAGTGGGATTTGGAGATAATCCCCCTCACAAAGACCCTGAAGAGCATTCCTACTCTCTTATTAGCAGACCCTTCCAGCTCCATCCCCCCACCCCAGCTAAACCATAAGCATTGACAGCTATCCTCATGTGTTGCCTTCTCCCACTCATTCCGTAGGCTCTAGCATCACTGTAACGTCACCGACCTTACATTGCAGTCTGACTCCCTAGATTCTCCACAAACATTCTCTGCCATGATAAATGGTTACAGTGATAAAGAAGGATATGATCCTAAAAAGCTGGTGTGCTGCACTCATGGCCATTCTAACTCTACCTGCAAAAACACACCAGGAACACAGAGGCAGCATTCTTAGCGTGGACTTGTGCACTGGAAGTTGGCAGTACAGAGCTTTTAGCACACAATAAGAATACCAGAATAACCTGTGAAAACTTATGTGCTGTTGCATTCATTAGCTTTATTGTTAAGTAATTTTATCACGATAAAAGCAGTTCACTTCTTTTCCTTGAAAAACCTGAGAGAGGTTCTTTTCTGCCTACCACGTGCCCAAATGTTATTCTTTGAGATTAATTACCAGAAAGTAACTAAGCCACCTATCTTAGGAATTCTTCAGCATCTATTTCTGCAGCAGCATTAAAAAAATTAGATTTCAAAACCACTACCGGATAGCTAGCCCAGAGATCCTGAAAATATTGTTCTGTTCATGAGCAGCTACCCTGAAACAGTTAGAACTCACAGGTCAAATGGCTCTGAGAAATGCTGGCAACCTGGCCCGGAATGCCAGGGTTGTGCACAGCACAATGTTGCTATAAAAGCTGTCATTCTGAGTTTAGCTTTCCAAGAAGCAAAAAACTATTTTGTTTCCTTGAGTTTTTGTTCCAGTAAGAAAGGTCCCTTCTTTTGAGCATGCACTGATTAGTATCAATCATTACCTTAAAGATTATCGAAGAAATAGACAGTGAACGAAAAGAAGCCATTACATGTTGGCATAACTTATCATATTTCTGCAAGAAGATGATCTTTCCAAGGCCTTGTAAAACTTGGTATACTTCTGTTTGACCAAATTCCCCTGTGTCATCATTTTCCATGAAGCTCTGAGAGCGCCACCTCTGACTGCTCTCACGGATTGTGATAGCACAGAAGTGACTACGTAGGCATTTATGGCACCTTTGCTCTCTCCCACAATGCTAAATATTTAACTATTTTGGTCTGGGGTTTTTTAAACTGAACTCAGAATTCCTGCTCCCTCCTGCTCTCCTGAAAAAAAAAAAAAATATTGTCTATTAACCTGACCAGAAAATATGCAATGAGTAGGTAAAACTACTTGTGATGTACCTCTGAGGAGAATAGTACCTAGCTGGTAGACTTCATCATTTAAGCTTTTAGCAAAGCAAATAGTGCATCTGGGTATCAAATGTTGCCTGTTAAAATGATGTCATTAATGTCATCCTCTACAAAATCCAAAAGTCATTAACTTTTATAATTTTTCAAAAGACATAGCTTAAGAACGAGCTTGTTGAATGTTACATTGCTGATGTAAAATGCACCATCAAGTAACTCAACGGAAAAGAGTGGAAGACACGAGTGTAAAACAGTAGAGTGAAGCATTAATATTCATTAAGTTAGCTTCCTTATTTTCTCACTTTTAATCATTACATGGGTCTTAAGTAAATGTTTTATATTCATCTAGTTTCAGTTCTTCTCTAGCTCCTAGACATTTCAGTTAAAGTAGTAATTTAAAGCAAGCAAATTTCCAGTAAGTGTTTCCACCTTAAACAAAATTATGATAAATTATCAAATTCTAGAAAAGTGGTTTTATGATGTTGAACCATAATATAACTGTTAAATAGCACATAAATTGAGAATCCATCCTGAAACTGATGAGAGCAACGTTTGATCATTTTAGTGACACATTTAAGCAGAACTCCTCAGCTCCCATTCAAATGTGTTGCTCTGTGTGTGTAAGATTATGACATGTATCATCTTCAATAGACAGAAGTGTATCTGTGAAAGGTGTGGGCAACGCTAAGATTTTACAGGAAGAAAAAAATGAGGGAGAAAAAGAAACTATATCATTCATCTTATTATCATTAACTCCTCTGTCAAAAAAACCCTGCAAGAGTTACCTGAATATTTTTAGTGCCACTGAGATAAATGTCACGACATGGATAAATACCAAAATGCACTTGCTTGAAAAAAAGATCCTGGACAGTATATGTAAACTCACACCCAACAGGAAAGTACAAAAGCTGAGCAAGCATCAGAGAGAACAATCCTGACTGCAGCTTATACTGAATAAATGGATTATTCTCCCCGTCACCTGTGCAAATTGCCTTAATGTGAATAAAACAGTGCATCTACCCCCAGCGACCCAAATTCAGAAAATGGACTAGAGCGGAAGGGTAAATGTGTAAAACGTAACTTGCAGCTCAAGAAACTCTAGTGGGAAGCAAACACTATTGCCAGGTAGGAACATTTGAGACTGAGGATAAGCATGTTTGAGCACAAAGGAAACACAGGCTTGAGGGGATGAAACAAACCCGCAGCAGCTCTGCCGTCTGGCCAGGCTCTGCGACGTGGGCCTCCCCGTGCAGCTGCCGGAGCCCGGCCCGCGGCAGGAGTGGTGCTGGAGAGAGCAAAAGCAACAACATTTAGGTCATAGGTAGTTGTATATCACTGGCCTGACACGATGTTTTAAATCACAACACTGTATTTTCAGGCTGGAACACTGAGTCATGAAACAACCAAAACCAGATGTACCCTGTGAAATACTATATAACTGAGGTCAGCAAGCACTTGAAAGAATAAAGAAAAGAAACATTTACGTAGAAGGATTATTTCAGCATGCCGTTTCTATAGGTTGCTGAACAGGAACCCATCTAGAGTAAGTGTCTACCTCACCAGGAGTTTCCCAGATAAGTTAAGTTGGCCTCGGTTGGCTACCAACACAAATCACGCAGAATGACTAAGACTCAGGCTCAAACATCTGCTTCAAAACTCTGAACAGCTGGCTGCCTGGCCTGGGTAGAACGGACCTTGTATCCCATATATCCCATTCTGATAGGTGCCACTGTACTCAGATTTAAGAGGGTGGGGGTGGAGAGAAGAGTTAATTAGTACAACTCCCTCAGAAATGCTGCTGAGTATACACAGAGGAGAGGAAGGAAAACAACCTTTAAAAACTCCTGCACCCCCAGGGCTTCTATTTGGCTGGTTACAAGTCAGGCAATCGACACTCGCTTCCCACCTTTGCTGTGCAATCAGACTCCAATGAATTCTACCTCGCTGGGAATTTTAATTTTTTAACCTCAATGTCAGCCCTAATGACCCTGTGCAGACTGATACATCTCTGGATACTAATGGCCAGGCACTCACTCCGGGGCTCCCAGCTGTGGATTTCCTTTTCACCAGCTATCTGAAAATGCTGCCATCCAAGTCCTGACCCATAGTTCTGCCTACATCACTATATTCCTCCCATGCCTCTGCTGGCTCCCTTTCTGCTTCAACACTGAGGTTAAGCTCCTTGTCCTCACCTTCCAGGCTCTACACAGCTGAGCCCCAGCCCTACCTCCTAGCCCCTATGCCCACTGACTCCTTTAATCTTGATCTTCAGTACGACTCCTTCTACCTGTCCTGGCTCTGTCTTTTCATGCTGCTCTTCGTGACACCCAGCATGTAAGAGCCCAAGCTACAGAATGCAAACGGAGTGTGCATTTTAGCAACCCACATTCAGACTAACATGGTGTTAAATACAGTTTTTCTTTTGGTGTAAGTAGAGACAGCTACATCCATAGATGTATTAAATATATCAAAGAATAACCTTTGATTTAGGTAGGTTATCAGGATAACAAGCACATTTTTAAAGTTTGGACCCCTCTACTCCCTGTAGTACATCACAGTCAATACTGTGTTAATTAACATTTTTCTAGAAGGTGTTGCTCTTCTCGAGTAGAAACAAGTTGATTTACCTCTCCTTCTTCAAACATCTCATTAAAATCCTTTGATTTAGCCTTAAGACTAAATTTTCCACATTTTTGGCAAAAAACATGCACACATTTCCTGTTTTAGTGAAGTTCTTATCAAAGTATCATATCCATCACTTTCAGCAAGTACAATACAAGCAAAATGACAAACTGTCAACCAAGAAAACTTTCCTCCCTATTTTTAACCATCTGACTGAAACGTGGGGGTTTCTTCTCTCTTTATTCCCATATTGATGCAATAAAGTTCCAGTACTTTTGGAAAGAGCAAAGTTGAAGAAATGCGTTTCACAACAGGACTGCAGGGGACAAGATATGTGGTAACTAACGTCTTGTGGAATGGATTTTATAATGGTTTTAAAGTAGCTGCCAACAAGAATGCTGTGTCACCTATGCCCAAACTTCCA